AAAAGCCTGTGAACATTATTTGCAATGTGAGGTGTGATTGTGAGTGAATGGAATGATGTTCATGAGAAATCAATAAATCCTGTCAGGCAGGTTTTTATCTTGTGTTATCAAACATTACCATGACTTGTGTGTTCATCAAATTCAAACCAAAAGGTGAATTCCTTTAGGGCCGAGTCCACTGCCATTCTGTACAGAACTGTATTTTCCACAGAAAACCCACCTACATTGCATAGAATAAACAAGGAAATGTACCCATAAATGAACCGTATATATTCTGAGCCCCACACAAAATTAAAACAAAAAAAGAGCCCCAAAATGCACCATGTACAGTGTGTTTACCAGTCAGCAAAATAAATTAATATATTCAATCCTTCATATGCTAGCAGAATATCTTTTGAATCATGTTGAAAGAGACATTCCAGTTCAGATGATTGCACAGTATACCAAACAGCACCTAAGATCAAGTAGGTCACACAGGTCAACACAGTATGTGTTTGTGGATTTTTGCACAATTGTAGTATTACAGTACAATTTTTGGGAGAATATGTATCAAGAAATCCATTGTGTCCACACAGTTTGTCATTTCTTTGCAGGTATGGCAGATTTTTAGCCTCATCAGAAAGACAAGTATGTAGATATCCATGTCCTGACAGATGTCACACGAGTGTACACCCCTGGAAAACCAATTCGCCCACATCCATGTCCCCAGCTGGTCACTCCAGCAATAAACCACTGGCCAGAGTACTGACGACAAGTCAGTGGCCCTCCAGAATCTCCCTGGGTGATGGAAAAAGGAAGATCAACAGTGCTGTTATTTCATTAGAAAATAAAATAACTTCAATCCTCCGCTGTATAAAGGAGAACAAACAAATTGATTAAGGAGGGGTGAGAAAGAGAGATAGTGGAAAAAGGCAGCAGATACTGAGAGAATGCCACTTTGCTACAGAGATGCCAGGTGCTATGACCGAGACAGGAAGGCATGTGGGTTTCCTTACATAAGCAGATTACAGAGGGGAGAGGGGGTGAAGGGCGGGCTCTGTGTTTAGGAAAGAAAGTCTACTCTCTCTCCTATCTGATATGCATCATGGAAGGAAGTACTGCAGTGTTCCTGAACAAGCAGCACTTGGTTTTCTCCATCTTTACCCCATAATTACCACATAACATCTTACTGCTCAAATTCTAAGACTGTACCCCTCAGATGTCCAGCGCATTTCTAGGCTAAGAAAAAGGCATTTGTGTCAAGAAGTGACCCTACTGTACAGCATCTTACCAAACAGGTGTCCCGGCCTCCCTCCATGTAACCAGCACACATCATGTTAGGAGTCAGGGCATCTCTGTACGGCCGCTGGCAGTCTGCCTGGTCAATGATTTTCACTGCAGCGTTCTGTAGCAGGTTGGTCAGTGAACCTGTGGAAAAGAATAATAACTACATCAGCGTATTCTGCATTTTTGTAAAGTTTCACAAATCTGTTTTCCCGAGTCTTTAGGGTCATAACAATCTGGAAGCTTTTATTCCCCTGGTGTTTTCTTGCTTTTACCCACATCTTCAAATGAAACACTCCATTTGTCCAATATATTGTTACCTGATTATACTAATATTGAAATGTGCAGTGCTTTCTGGGTATGTGTCTGATATCAATGTCTACTTCACTCACCTCCTTCCTTCATGGACCCCCAGCCTGCGATGTAGCACTCTGCATTCTTCAGAAAGTGGTGCACCGGTGAGGGGAGACAGACACGCTGGATAGTGTTAGACATGGGGGCTGGGAGTGCCAGCTCTAGCAGAGCGACGTCCTGGTCCATGTTAGTACCATTGAAAGCCGGGTGGATGATAACCCTGTGGATGGGGATGATCAGGGCTCCCACCCCAGTGCGCAGCACAGATCCCAGGCTCACAGCCCAGTTAATGGGGCTAGGATCACTGCATACGAGAGTTATGAAAGTAGACAGTATTTTTCCAGACTCCACTTTGTTTTTGTTTTTTTTTATGTAAATATATATTATTGTGTGGGGTTTAGTTTGAAATAAACTTTTACTAGCTGATGCCATACAAAAAAGCATAATTTGATGGGTGATCAATATGATGTTTTTTATGTGCTGCTGTGCTAAATAGGTTTGTGTGATATTCATTATACTGTATGTGTACCTTTTGAAATCTAGTAAATACAAATTACCCTTTGAAGCAGTGTGCTGCTGTGAGTAACCATTTCCTATCAATGAGTGTGGCACCACAGCGATGAAGACTCCGGTACTGGAGACTACCAATCCAAGGCCACTCTCCCCTGCGAGCTGTTACTCCACCCACTATTCTGTGGCTGCCCAATATAGGACGAACGCCACAGTCTGAAATAAAAACACACCTCAGAGGTGCATCTTTTAAATTTAGGGTATATCGTTCTTTATGCATATTACCTTACCACAGTGGCTTTCATCTGCCTGGTTGGGGCAGTCAGGGACACTGTCACACTCTGGGTTGACCTTGCTGATGCAGGAGGTGGCGCTACACTGGAAGTTTTCATTGCATTTCAAGACTGACAAACATAATGAAGAGAAGAGCATAGGTATTAATCTAGAAAAGAAAAGAATGATCAATAAAATCAGGTTAAACAATAAGAACTAGATAAAATGGATGAGACAATGACCAATAAAATACTTGAGGGAATAAACCATTAAAATGTAAGTGCAATAACACAGATGCATAAACAATGGCTGTAACACACTCTAATCAAAAGCCAGATTAAAAAGGTAGGTTTTGAGTTTAAAAACATCCAGACTTTCAGCTGCTCTCAGATCTTCAGGGAAACTGTTCCAACAGTTCACAGCATAAACCTAAAAGCTCACCAAAGGTTTTTGTCCTGCCTTTTGAACCAACTAAATGACTCAAAGTGCCGGATGATCAGAGAGACAGTCCTGCTTACACTGGAAACATGTCTGACAAGCATGCTGGGTCAACACTGGATGCACTTGAACAATATTTCTGAGATGATAAAGGGCAGATTTGATGCAAAACCCACTTGAACCTTAAAAACTAATTCTGAATCAACAATGACATCAAGGTCTCTGGCCTGTTGGCCTGGGGTCAGTCAGTCCTAATAGGAAATGCAATTTTTGTGGCCAGTTTCTCTCTCCAAACCTTTGAACCTAGAACTAAAATTCCAGTTTTATCCTGATTGTGCTGTAAAAGGTTTTGTGAAATCCAGATACTGACAGAAACTGCATCTAATCTAGTCTCTTATTGTCATCAGGAGACATGTCCACACAAAACTGAGTATCATCAACAATAGCTATGGAAAGAGATGGCGTGTCTCCTGAAGATACCACCGAGGGGTAAAACACTATATGACATTACCAGATAGTGATGGTGCAGACATGGCTGTGGTCTGGGGTACTGCTGAATCACTAAAGTTCCTTTCTGTCACAGTAGCTGGCACTGTGGGAGCATACTGGAGGTAATCATGGACCAAGCTGGGATCTGTGTGGCTTACAATCCAGTTGGACAGAGCGGTGATCCGGGTATAAACCCCAGGCTTGTTGAGCTGGGCACAGCCCATACCCCAGCTCACTACACCAGCCAGAAAGAACCTTCCCGGTGCTCCCTCACACACCAGGGGCCCTCCAGAGTCACCCTGCAGGAAAAACATAATATGACCCCAGCACAGTCTCATGTTAACCTTGTGTCATTTTGGGGATGGGATTGGCATTAACACACAGTTTCAGCACTACTTATAGTTTCGAGATAGACAAAGAAGATAAATCCCATCAGTGTACTGTGTGTAGGGACTCTGCCCCAAGACAAGAACGTACTGTAGGAAAAAGCAAGTTGATAGCTCATGCTATTGTAGCTGCCTTATGAGAACTGTTTTCTTACAGTTGCAGAAAGAACACTGACCTGACAGGAGTCCACCCTGCCCTGCAGGAAGCCAGCACACATCATATTCTGAGTAATAGCACCCCTGTACACAGACGTGTTATTGCACTCCTTGGTGTTGATGACCTTCACCACTGCCTTCTGCAGTGCAGATGGCAGGACAACTGAATGACAGTATAGCACAAGACAACTGAATCACTCATCATTCTCACTGATCATATTTCAACATGCAGCCCTGCTGCACAACCAAAGAAAGTTAAGATTTTTATAAAGCATTGTTTCGTTATTCTTTTTAAAGGACAAATTCTAATCTTTTTTAGAATGTAAGAATGTACTGTAAATCTAGAATAATTTCAGTACACATGTAGCTGACTGATATAATGCTGATGTGAAACTAGGTTGTCATTTTATCCACATTAGTTATATGTGGCTCAGAATTATCTTAAGGGAAATTTTTGTCATACCCGAGATACAGTAGCAATATATTGATGTCATGGCATTGAAGGAAGCAAACAATGGGATGGTAACTCTCTCTCTGTATGACTCAGGCCTGTCACTTAATTCCTTTTCACTCTAATAAATCCTCATCTGATATTGTTTTGAAGTGCACTCCTGCAGAGAGACTCACTGCTAAACTCGTTTAATGCACCCCACCCCGATACCACACAGCTCTGGCCCGGAGCGAAGACGTGAGATGAAGAGGGCAAGCAGACGGGCTGGATGTAAGAGCTGAAAGTGAGAGGGGTCTCCAGCTCGAGTAGAGATACATCATAGTCATTGGTTGTGGGGTTGTAGTCTGGATTCACAATCACTGACTTGATTTTAATCAGCTTAGACACCGACTCCGCACCGCTAATCAGTCTGGCCCCTACCAGGGCCATCCACTCTCCAGGGTTATTCTGCCTAATAACAGAAAAGACCGAGATGACAAGTTCTGAAATAAACTATAGACATGAAAATTACTTTATAGCATAGTATTAAAAACTGATTTACACAAAATGTGTCCCTTTGTTTCCAAATGCTTCTGTAGAAAGTGTAGTTATGTCTCTGATTGTGAAGTCTATAACTTGGAAATGATAATTGCTGCTTACCCCTGAAAGCAGTGTGCTGCACTGACCAACCACTGTTTGTTGAGAATGGAGGCTCCACAGGTGTGGTGTCCATGAAGCCTCAGACTGACCTGCCATGGCAGCTCGCCTTGTTGAGCATTCTCACCACCCACAATACGACTCCCCATGGCAGGACGTGTACCGCAGGCTGAAGGGGAGAGGAGGAGGATGTAGTCGAGACAGGTGTTGTATTCTAGTAACCTTAAATTTTGACCTGTCAGCGCTGGTATATTCTGCTACAGTTTGCTGTTGTTTTTTTTTTACCAATAGCAAATGAAAAAGAAAATCAAATAATGAGGCTTAAAAAGACAACAGTAAAAGTTATAATTTCACCACAGCGAGCTTCATCAGATCCGTCTGCACAGTCAGCAATGAAGTCACACTCTGGATTTATTTTGGTGACGCATTCCCCATTGTCACAAGTGAAAGTGTTATTAGGACACCTGGCTGGAGAGGCCAGATGACAGAAAAAAGGTAAGATGCACATAAGAGAAAAGAGTATGATATGAGAAAGTGCAGAGTAATTAGAGTAATCTTTTGAAAGCCATTTATGGTTGCTGTCGCAAACTAACATTCATTCATTCATTCATTCATTCAAAACTAACAGTTATGTCCAAACCTAGTTATTTTGTTTTGCTCAGAAAACAGATGAATTAAATGTTTCACAGGGTTTTCACAGGACAGCAATGATAATAAATAAGCAAAAGGAGTCACAGAAAATTACATTTAGCACATTTGTTTGCAGCTAGTAAGTAATCTCAAACTATTTACCCTAATAAAAAGACAACCCACTTCAAAGCTGACTCACCCATTCTCTCATCTCCAATAGTATAAAATGACTTCCCACTCGCTCCTAGGAACAAGAAAGCAAAGCATTAGATCCCGTGAGTACTGTTGAGACAATACACAGCTGTGGCCCAATTTTGTCATCTCCACACATCCACAGGTCAGCCCACAGCTGATGAGAGGACAGTTGTACTACCCAGTAAGACGATGGTATTGATCTCTCCAAACTGTGGCACCTCTATTGGTTCCTCGTGCAGTGCTGCCCTGAGCCCTGTTCTCAGCAAGTCCTGAACAAAGCTGTCTGAAAACTGTTGGGCCTTAGACATACGGAAGACCAGTCTGAATGTTGCCATCACGTCACCATTAATGTTACTGGGAATACAGAAAAAACAGGTAATTTTGTTTGTTTAGGTGATTTATACTGAGATTAAATTCTCCAGTTCACTTCAGTTTTCACTTACCCATAGCCAACAATATGACAGCCATCATAGTGAGATGACATTGATGAGGCTTCAAATACATCTTTAATCTGTAAGAAGGTGAAAATGAACAGTTTAGTACATTTTAAGTGAAATATTGACTTCTCATCATGTTGACAGTCGGCGCTAACCTTAAACGTTAAAACCGAAGACAGTACTATGAAGAAACCAGAGCGCCTATCCTTCAAAACAGGATCATACTTGAGACCTTTCAGTTCCACTGTCTCCATGAAATAATGCTCCTCCGGCACCAGGTATGCTGGAAACAACAGAGAAGAAATATTTAATACTTGAAGATGACACAATGATGACAAGTTTCATAGAGCTTAGTGAACCAGACATTTCTGTGTTGCCGACTCACCAACCAGAAGACCCACCAACACTCCTACAAAGAGGAAGAAGAAGAGCAAAGCTAGGAGGCTGCACCTGTAGCAGGAAGGTGAAGGAGACCGCAGACCTCCTTGTTCTCCATCCTTCTTTGCTTCCATGTTGGATTCACAACACTGACTTCATAAGTCACATTCCACTATCTCCAGTGTCATCATGTCCAACAGACCTGGTAAGAATACAATTATTTTGTAAATAAAAAACTCAAATATGCCCTGAAGGGACTCCTCTGTTACTGTTCAAAGACATTCAAAGACAAAGTGCAATGCAATAACACTATCTATTACTGTATGCAACTCATTTTTATTCCAGAGCCCCAGAGACTTATGTGTTTTTATGGATTTTAAATTATATTTTTTTATTTATTACTATGATGCACCCATTGGGGCAGTGCTCCTAATTTTGTTGTTGGCTAAGCTTGCAATGACAATAAAGTCTTTCTGATTTTGAATGAAGTGCACTGGGTATGACCCTTAGACATACTGGGTATGAATCTTAGACTGAGATGTTAGGGATGGTGGCCCATAGTATAACCATACAGTAGGCAAGACTGGACAATGTGATTGAACTCAGTTTCATAAGTATTTTTATGGTATTCATATTTGGTATAGTATAATATGGGCTGTTCATTCAAAATCACGTTACATGGCTCTGCATCACGTAAAAACTGTTCAAATTTGTAAACCAAATTTTTAAATTAGTAATTTTGTCATGTTACTAAGTAGTTTGGAAACATGAATCTGAACAACTTGCTACAAACGATAAAATGCGTCATATAATCTAAAAATCGATAAATAGTCAGCGCTGGGGAGTAGTGAACTACACGTACTGTAGTTCAACTAGAAGCTTAACAGTATCTTGCTGGTAGTTCAGCTCTGCATAGTGATTCAAGTACTTTATAAAAAAAATTAAAAACATTTTTTGTGTAGTTAATGTACCTACTGTACACTACAAACATTTTTTTTTTATCATGCAGCATGTGAGTGGCCTTTAAGCGCTGGCACACCGATGGTCGAACAAGAACTTTCAGAGGTTTCAAAGTCGGTTCCCCAACACTGGTAATAGACTACTATATACTGTAAAATAGGCCCATCTCTTATAATAGGCTGGGCCTTTACTCTATGACAATCCACACACAATTTTGTTATTCATGTAAACAATAATGGTATGAAGTTTCTTAAATTAAAGAACGATGTCTCAATTCTATGATCAAAACAGTGGTATTGTAGCCAACTACAGATGATGCTTAAAAAGTAAGTCTAATTTGCAAATCACAAATAAGAAAATAACATATGCATCTCAGAAAAGGCTTATAAACGTTCAAAGGCTACTTAAAAACAACAAGCAGCGGTTTTGTTAAGGAGAGATGACTTGGCTGAGATTGTTGAGTGTGTGCGTAAAGGACACCAGGGTGGCCATGTTGCTTGGCAATAACAAATTAGATGTGGAAAAATGCCACAGTAAAAACAAGAACACCTTGATTGTATTCTACAGGCTCATAAGATAAAAAAGGAATCGATGGATTCGTTGAGGATATTCACTGCACCAGCAAATTACGCACGGTGGCTCCACTCTAAACAATACAGGTTTTATGTTCTGAAGTAAACTCACTCACCTCTTCCTTCTCCCATCCCTCTGAACACTGACATTCATAATATTCTGTAGTTCACATTGCATGACTTGGCGCACACGAGATAAGATACAAGGATGAATGAAGACAATGCACAGGGACCGGGGGGGTCTGCTATTTGTTCCGCCTGCCAAGGGGCGTGCCGCGTCCGCCCCGCTGGAAACTTACCTTCGCAGTTCACGTTAGAAAACCGATTCGGCTGCAGAAATCCCCAGTGGATCCCCCACCCATCGGTCTTGATCCCCTTGGTTACACCTCGATGTACACAGGGGTTTCTGCTGTCATCTCAAATCTCTCATGATCCCCAGGTAAATAATAACTATCCCCCACTTCTTTACGCAATGCACAGCAAAGTGGGAGTCGGAAAAATAGGACATAGAAATCTACAATGCTCTTCAGCGGAGCTCACTATTCCCTCTGGCTGCTGCCTGTCTCCACTGACACAGTAACTGAGCAGCAGAGGAGGGGCCAAGACTCCTGGAATTCTTCTCTTCATCTTTGACTGAGAGTCAGGCTCACAACACCTGGCAAACCATTAGGGACCTTTAAGCAGTACTGCAGCTTCTCTAACCACTGCAGGTGTCTTAACCATAACTTCACTGACCCACTCCATTCAATGTGACTGTGTGAGGCTAGATAAACTGCATCTTAAGCTTTTTAAATTCACAGTTCTGCAATGCAATATTCTGCACTTTATACACACACATTTGCTGAACACTTGCTAACAAATTATTGTATGTGAAACTGTAAAACACTACACATTTAATAGTAACATCTCATTCTAAATTACTCTGATCTCAGTTTAACAAAAACACATTTCCATTCTAGCTGTCTAAAGCAGCAGTGCACATCCACCCCTGTAAACAAAGTTTGTTCACTTACATTATTCCCCCACCCTGCTTAAAGAACTCCCAACTCAAACCAGTAAATACTACAAATGTCTCTTTGTCAGGGTGCAGACAGGCTTCAGTGACTTATCTTCACACACACAGCACAAACTCCCTTTATACCTTTAAGCGCTTTTAAAGATCACAATCAAATACTTCTGTTACTGTCCATGAGCTGAAGCTAGTACAGTGTTCTGACCACTGCTCACATGGACCAGCACAGCTAATTACAACCAGTAGGTGGATGAGAGGTCCATAAATCTGAAGCACTTGGCTGTTATAAAAAAAAAAAAAGATATCTTTTATTTGTTTATGTGATTGTCCAGGCCCTGCATATGTAAATTAAAGGAAGTAAGCTTTTACTGGCCAACCTAGGTAGCAATGACAGTGAGCTGTAGAGGAACATATGACTAAACTGTACAAAATACAAGTAGTCAGTGGACTAACAGCTGGGCTGTTTGACTCGAGACTTAAGCTGAGCCATGCAGAAAACAGCAGCTCAGTGCAGCACCTCCTGAATCACATTTAGTTTTCTAATTTGACCATCTATTTCTTCATCATTACATCCTAAATGTAAGTGAACAAAACTTACAAGACCCAACATACATTTTTATTTTATTATCAAAAACAACAAAGAATAGTAAAAAGTTGACTTATTCTGGCTAAAAAGAAAACTGTACTGTTAACGCTTCCCAAACTTGTGGGCTCTTTGCAACTCAAATCTTTGCTAATCAGCACTCCACAGACAGAAACAAAAGTGAAGTGCTGGTAACTGTCCTTTTGTTCATCAACTTTTGATTTTTAACAACAGAAATGTGCTATGTTGTATTCCTTATTACTGTTGTGGTTAAAACAAATAACAAAAACGTCACAAAAATATTCAAGCATGTGCACAGTTGTGTGTGTCTGTAACTCGGCAGGCGACAGACTGCATTAGCCATCCTGCTGCTGTATGAATGGGTTTGGTATAGCCTCCATGCCATCCTGAGGACAGATGAGCACTACGGATGTTCCTCTGCAGACCACCAGTCCCAGTTGTCTTGTGTCTTCTGTCAGCTTCAGCTGGTCATCTGGATCTAGATACACAAGGGTTACAGAAACACAAGAGTTAAAGTTGGAAGTGTAACATGATTTCAGTAGGTCACTCTGATTCAAAGCAAACCAATTTGTATCAGCCACTATAGTAAGGGTGAACGAAGTAGAGGTACATATACTAATCAATGTGTTGACTGCTATACAGTATGTTTGAGATTCACAAAGGAAACAAACCATTCTGCTTGTGTTTTTAACCCTGAGGACTACTACAACAGAGACGTGAACTTTTAATCATAAACAAATAAAGATCTAATTTGCTATCAGTGTTCCCTTGCATAGGACTCTGAAATAATCGATTAGGTGATTGACAGAAAAATAATCTCCAACTGTTTTAATATTTCATCATCTGCTTCAGTCATTTTCAAGAAAAAAATAGCTAGCTAAATAAATAGCGAGAAGACGTCCTACTTTTCTCTCTCATATTACATTATAGACAAAACAGAGTATTTAAACATTTGTTTGAACAAAACAACTCATTTGACCAGGCCATGTTTGGCTCTGCAAGGCGGTCACAGGAAATTTTAAACATTTCATATAATAAACAATTTAAAAAAATGTCAGAGTTGTCAATGGTGAAAAGCACTTATTTGCAGTCCTACTTACAAATCAGCAAATGTATAGCACATACTAATTTATGACAACTCTCTCCCGAATATGGTGCAAATATTAGGCCTATTGACCACAGACTATATACTATGATAAAATCTCAACGTGTGTGTTTTTGGTTAAAAATGTATAGATGCCTTGTAAACTACAGTTTCTCAAAGCTGAGACATATCTCCAGATTGGTGCTTTCATTTTGCTGGGTTACTTGCACAACAGAACACGTTTTCGTTATTGTGATATTCACAATTACTTTGCCAGTGAAAGTGTTTCTTTTCGATGCACAACCAGCCCAGTCCGGAGCTTAACTTGGTCCAGTTATTCGCATCAGCTTGACTCCTATATATTTCACACCGACCAGAGGGAGTGTTTTATTAGCTTACCACGCATGTACTCGATTGTCCCGTCCAACACCAGGTTCAACAGAGGATCAAACCCTTTGAGAACACCGCTGGCTGAGAGGGAAACACAGAGCGTTGCATTAGTCAGGGTCAATTTAGTGCCTTCGAGTGCCCAAACGTTACTAAGTTAACTAGCTGTCTCCACTAGTTATAATGATTAGCATTAGTATATTATCATGAATCATCCACCTACCCTCTCGTCCTCCTTGAAACTTCACACGAATTGGCTTGTCGATGTATTTTGACAAGTCGAAGATGCTCTCCTTTTTCTTCTTATCTTTATCCTACGCATGGCAAACAACAATTGTTTTAGATGTTACAGGCCGCAAACAAACAATCTGAGGTTAGCTTCTCTTGGCTAGCCAAGTTGAAAAACGCCAAATATTATATTGGAATGGCTGCTCTACATCTCAGGTCATGCTCAGAATAAACCATTGCAGTCCAAAAATACACACGAGAATTTTAATGAGTACAAAGGTAAAAAGATATTTGAATATAAGCGAAAACCTTACGAACTCACCGCCATGTTAGCTGTGACACGGAAGTTAAACTGTGACCTCAGCAATGCTCCACCAATCAAATCGTTGAGCGCACTGCCTGACGTCATTAGATTGTTGTGTAGTTGACTTAGCGATTACTTTAGTACCCTGGATCCTTTACTAGATATATGCTAAATGTTGGCTATGAATATTCAGTTATTTACTGTATGCTTTATAGTTGATGCATGTTGTTTTCTGTTCAGTCAATGCTTTAAATAAAGATATAAAAAAATACATATTAATTTGGTAACTAGTAAAAATGACCAGAGTTTAATAATATAACACTTAGTGTTAAATAAAAGATACTAATATGCTTATAGGATCATTCACATTTGTTTTTCAAGTTGACCTCCTTTCCACTGTTGTATTCAGCCAGCAGTCAGTCAGGGGGATAGTCTATTAATACCACCAGTTGGTGTTTTGTTAACCAGAACGAGGATCGCCTATGCAGAGGACGGCTGGCGTGGCTGTTTGTTGTGACATGGCCTGTCAAGCAAACACTGAGCTGCAACCTCAAAGCGTCAGATCGAAAGTTCTTTCTGAGCAGAAAAACAGACCGGAGGAGGATGAATCTGTTACACACATGAAAGACTCTAAGCCTGATGTAATTCCTGATGCTATTCTACGAGTAGAAGGAGAGAGTTTTTATGTCAACCGACAACACATGGCCCTCCAGAGCCCCTATTTCAGGGCTCTGTTCTTTGGCTGTGGTGTAGAGAGCAACAAAAGGAAAGTTGAGATCAAAGGTGTGGGCCTACAGCATTTCAGGGTCTTGATGGAATACAGCAGGACATCCAGTCTAGCTTTGAACAGAGAAAATGTCCTGGGGATCCTTGAGACTGCAAACTTCCTCCAGCTTGAGAGAGCCAGGTTGTTGTGCTGCAAGTTCTTAGAGCGTGAGCTGCACCTCAGTAACTGTCTGGGAATGATGGCTTATGCCTGGCAGCTTGGCTGCGCTCAGCTCTATGCTGCAGCACGACAGGTGGTGCTCACACACTTCCCTGCTATCTCTGCTGAACAGGACTTCCTGTCCCTGTCTAAGGAAACCATAGCAGACATTCTTGCCAGTGATGATCTGGCTATCCACAAGGATGATCTGGCTCTAGAGGCCATCTTACGCTGGGTAGTGTTTGACCCCAAACGAGAAGAACACTTTCTGGAGCTTGTTGCGCTGGTGAGGCCTGAGTCACTCTCTTTACCCTTCATCACTGACCTTTTGACCGGAATGAAAAGCTCTGACTCGAGAGCCAGGCTCATCTGCATGCTCAATGAACATTTCCCAGTATCTTGGTCAATGGGTAGGTCAATAAGGAGGGCCAGGGCTAGAGAGACCCTTTTTGTCCTGGGCGGTCCTCATGATCAAGAGCAACAGGCACTGTATCAGTTCCACCCGCTCAATGGAACATGGCAGAGCTGTGCACCTCTGCAGAGGAGGAACCTCACACAATACTCAGTGGCTGCATTAGGTAATGTCTGGATAATGAAAACAATGATGTCATAATTATGGAGATGAGGATAGTAAGCAAAAAGATGATGAGTGAGGGGCTGAATCTGTATTTACTGTCTACGTACAGTGTGTAATAATCATTAGTCACCTGTTTGTATTTTTACATTAAAAGGGAAGTAACAAAATATAACACAATGGGTATTGAACTTGTCATGTTGTTTTAAACATTATATTTTGTTATTGTTTAGGAGACTGTGTGGTTGTGACAGGTGGCTACTTTCGGGATGTGCTCTGGTTCAGTGTCGACTGGGTCAGGATATATGAATGTGGGAACCAACGCTGGCTAGATGGGCCGTCCCTACAGAAGTCCAGGCACAGCCACTGTTCTATTGGGCTGGACTCAGTGCTGTATGTCCTGGGTGGCAGTATGGACGAAGGTCTAGTGGCTGATGTAGAGAGGCTGGTCCTGGGGTCAGAAGAGGGTTGGGAGGGCATCAGCCCCATGGTTAAGGCTGTAGAGAGGGCAGCCACTGCTGCTCTAGGGTCATGTGTCTATGTTGCATGTGGCCTGGATGAAAATGGTGATGTGTTTGGTGGAATTCAGAGGTATGTGGTGAAGGCCGAACAGTGGGATGTGGTCTCCTGTTCTCCATTTCCACGGTGAGTGAATTTTCAAAAACATACTAATCATGTCTGTTTTTTAATTCATATATTGTGGTTCTAAAACAGCTTCTCCTTTCAGCCTTAATTGGAGGAATAATAGTGTGAAAACAAAACAGGAAAGTACATTTGAACCTTTTCGTAGGTATGACTTGATTGCCACAGAGCTCAACGGTGCCCTCTACCTATTTGGAGGCAAAGCCCTGCGTTTCGACGTGGACACAGATGAGTGGACCGTGCTGGAGGAGGAATGTCTGGACAGGAAGTTCTTCTGTGGCTGCACCACAGTCAGTGGTCAAATATACCTGGTCAGTGAGAGGAAGAGTAACAAAGCATTCCCAAACATGATACTGCTGGACCCTTACATAGACACTTGCATTGAGGTAGATGATGCCATACCTTGTCCTGTGCCCCTCAGAGGGTGTGTCACCATGAGAATGTTCACATGATGCAGTGTGTTGTAATAAAATGCATTAATACCTAACACTATTTGTGGTTTTGAACAATGCAAGTGTCATTCTTTCCTGAAATAGAGCATTTTGCATATAGATTTTTATGTGAAGTGAATTTCTGGGTGAAATAAAATCAAAAGTGCACAGCTTGAGTTGAAGCTTTTTTATGGGTTGAATGAACACCTTCAAGATGAATAAAATCTTGTACTTCAAAAAAAGACAGCAATGTTAATATATTCAACATATAAACATAATTAGATTCAGTAAATGGAGACAGCAGCTACACAAAGAGTTGCCCTTACTACCTATGAAAATGTAGCAATTTTGTATTATACTGTACAATCACAAACCTACAATGACACACCTGGAGCCAAACAGTAATACAGACAGTACATGGCTTTAACTGTGTTCTAGTATGTAGCATAAATACATGTAAAGTGCCTCTTGATCCCAGTAAAGTACAAGAGCCTAGTTTATTCATATCCAGTCTGATTTTATAAGAATCATCAAATCTTTACATTTCAATAAGACTTTCTTCATCTGAGTCTTAAAGTACTTGACCTTTGTATTATCTAAAACACCTCACATTTCGCTAACACCTAGCTGTGTGTGTACTTTTCATGGCTCACCCAATGTGCTGCCTGCCTCAGTAAAAAACATTAGAACAAGTCGCAGTAAGGTCTGGCCAGTGCGTTTGTGCATTAAACGTTGTCCTACCAGCACACAGAACCTAATGTCAAGTGCATGTCATAAAATAGTGAAAATAGCAACAGCAGCAAAGGCACCTAACTAAAGTCCAGTAGTGCAAGCCTCAAAATCAAAATCTTAATGAAAAACCATGCTGCTTGTCACAATGCTATTCGGTGTATATATACACACACACACACACACACGCGGTTTAAGTCCATATTTTTTAAAAGCGCTGTTTTTTTAAATAAAGCATCACTTTATCTGAAATGTGACTCTAAATTGCTCCCAGGAGTGGTTGTGTCTCTAGGCACAGGGGCTTCATGTCAGTGACTTCTGTGCCAGTCCCAAGCCCGGATAAATAAAGAGGGTTGTGTCAGGAAGGGCATCCGGCATAAAACAGTGCCACATTACTCATGCGAAGTGGATTCACTGTGGCGGCCCCTAACAGGAGCAACCGAAAGTAGTAATAGTAGTAGTAGTAATAGTCTATCTGAAATGTCTTCTCCACAAGGATGTTCGTCTTTGCCCACAAGGGGGCGCCATATATCTTACAGAGAAGTGATTTAAAACATAGATCAAAGCCTATCACCAAAAAATATAACCTTATCAATCCTAAGGAACTTCTTTAGTGTCCTTTTCATATATTCTGCCACAGATTACAACACACAAAAATACCAATTGATTAGATGGTTTGTAAAAAAATAGTCTATAAAGTGGTTTGTCAACAAATTAACTACAGATACTTGTTTAGTAGACTATATACGACCAACTTTACAGGGTATATGGATACAAACATAGAGGAGTGAATTACTTTACCTCTGTTTGAAACACATTATAATACATATACATAAACAGTCTGTTTTTTTAAATAAAATTATTTAGTTTTTCTTGTTGTCAAAAACAGGTAAATGCATTGTAGCACACTTTATGGCATATACAAATAAGCTATTATAATACAACAAAAAGAAACAGCATAAATCTGTAAAAACAACACATATGATCAGGTGCTTGAATTTTCATAGTCTCCTTGTCTTATTGTTACAATATGCAGTAGTATATATGTAGTAGTATAAGTGACAGTAATGTTAGCGATTCTCCCTAAAATCACACTGAACGTGCACATTTACAGTCATATGTGTTTCTTTGCCCTCGTTTTTGAAAACAAGATGGATACACAATTACCTTAATCTGAAACCATCAATGGACGCTGCTGGATGTGCACAGCCCTTATGTATGCATCAATAAATAAACAACAATTTTTCCGGAGAGGCTTGGTAGATGACAAAGGGGTCTGCCCCATTATCTCGCTTTGGGCAGTCTGCTGTTTATATTCCTGTGGTTGGCCAGGTTGTTCAGGACACAGTTGTTAGCCAGTGATCCCAGTTTGGAGTTAATTGTACCCTTCCTTTGCTCCCAGCTTGACTCATCCCCTTCTTCCTCAGGCTCCTCCTCTTCCACCTCACTCTCCTCATCACTGCGTTCATCACGCTCAACCTAAGGACAGATGAAAAACATTTTTGATACTTTTTATAACCCACAATCCATTATGTCGCTGATGTAATGATGCACTCGTCTCACCTTGCCCAGGAACATAAACTTGTAGATCATGCGCAAAATGAGATAAGCCCAGAAGATGTGCAGGGCTTGCAGCACTAACAGCAGGGCATTGAAGAAATAATAACCAAAAAAGGTTGGGAAGAATTCTCTAGCCAATATCAAGGTTGTGTGAATCACTCTGTAAAATAAACACAACAAAACACATCAGTTTTGACTCAGTCCGGTGTTAATTCAATACTCAAAACCACAGAAGTTCTGTTTCTCAACTAGCAAAATCAGCCCTTTGCCTGCACCTTAAAACCTTCTTATCTCAGGTAAAGACCCTGAGATGTCAGGTTGGTGAGAGAGAGAAAGGAGCAAAGATGCATGATGAAATACAAGACATGCACACAGCTGGATGCCTCTGAACAACAAAGCAGGTCCTTGACAGTTTGAACAAAACATTGGTAGCAGAGACAACAAAAGCAAATTTCAAACCATGACAGTGGATGAAGCAATACAAAAAAAATGAGCGAATTTCAACTCATTATTGTTGCTATTGCCAAAACCCACTTACAAACATAATGACTGCTGTATAAAAAAACCCCAAGTTTGATATGACTTTAATGGCTCATGTGTTTGTTGCTAGGAAATTGCAACATCTTGTAACAAAATCATCTGAATCTTGATTTTGATGCTGGTACAGATATCAGTGGTAATTTAAAAAACATAATCATAACATAAGCAAACCTCTAAATAAGGACACATCAAATTGAGATTGAGAGACAAACTGAGTGGCACATTTCCCAGTTCACAGTTGACAAATCAACTCGTCAGCATTCTCTGATGGAAAAACTGTGTTTTAAAGTTACCTCAAACCTACTCTGACGTTTCTAGATTGTAATTTCTTCATACATATCAGCCAGCATATATACATTGATACTAACATGTCTGCAAAATACTGAATGAAGCTAATACAGTGTCTTACCTGCTAGGAAACACCACTAGCCTTGTGACCAGGAAGACCAGAGAAAAGATGATGAACAGTGTGTCACACATCCTCGCCCAGCCAGCATAGTGAAACATCTTGGCAGACTTTTACAAGCAAAAGGATGATCAAAGTCCTCATTAGTTATTAGTAATTGTAAAAACCCTCTTAGTAAACAGCTTACATCTATTACCCTCAGTTCTCTTTACAAATAACGACTGATGCTGTTTCTAGAGCAGTGTACGCTGTGTGGCCAACACAAGCTTCAGTGTTTTGCTTAGAGAAAATGTGGCAGATTCCAGTGGATATCACAGAAATCTAATAGACAACTTTTAGCTGCATTAGAATCTCCCTGTCTGCTCACAGTACCTAGCCTGAAATTTCAATCCATTTTGATTTGTAGTGACATAAGCAATATCAGTGGCATTCACTCCACTAAGTGTTTAATGGCAGAATGGAAATGAATACACAAGAATAAACAAGAATACATTAAACACAGCCTACAGATTAACCAATGCCAGTTTAGAGATGAATGAATTTAGGTAGTTGTATTCAGAATAGATGTTCAAAGGCCAGAATATGCTTAGTATATATTAGAGTTATTAAGTTTCCCTATTTCTAATCCACCACACAGCCACACTGAGTGATTGACTGAGTGTGACACATTATAGTCCTTTTATGGCTTTCAGCATCAGAGACTAGATGGCACCCATGCCTGAGGTCATAAGACCAGCTCTACATAGTTTCTCAGCTCTGATAATCTTGATCTTATCAGTGAAATGTGACACTCAGGAAAAACAGCCCCACAAAACCAAAGACAATGAACCTATTTTCTTGTTGAGGGATTAGCAGGTAAGAGTTTTACAGCCATAAAGGGCCTTTTTATTTTTATTTTTTTTTTTACCATACTCCATAATGCTTTTCCTTTTACTGCTCAGTTACAGCAATACTGGACACAGGTGTATAATGTGTTAGGGTGTAAGGATAGGGAAACTTATGTAATAAATACATAATTGCTGTATTCAAGTCACCTTCCCTATGATCTTTGCACAACATTTTTTGACAATTTAATGTAAAGTATGGCACATGGGTAGACAACATTTTCTTCTTCCCTTTATTCCAGCTTTAAAAGTGCACAATCACAAGTGTGAAATTTACAGCCTTACTGTTCCTCTCCAATCATACAGATCACAGCGGCATGAGGGAAATGCAAATTGGACCAAAGGCAGCTTGGTTAAAGTCTGCAAATACTATTCAGGGAAATACAATTTAGTATTGTTGCACTGAATGTGGTGTTTTACCTCCAGAAAGAAGTCAGAAGAGTCATGCACCAGCAACACCAGTGTGCCGATCCTCACGTAGTTGGCACAGTAGGAGAAACCGATGAGGAATATGGTGGTGATGTGATGAATTACCTGCTCCTTGAAGTCCTGGAATACACACATGAACACAAAACAAAGACCACATAGCATTAGAGTCATGTACAGGAGCATAACCATAACTTCAGCGGCAAGATTTTAAATCATTTCTTTACAAAACAGAAACATGTAAGAGATGAATTACAGTGATTAATTATTGTTACTTATGTATATATAAAAAAGTTTAGCGATACAGCAAAGTTCAAGTGAGTAGTTTAAAACATATTTAAAACTTTGTTGTTCCTAGCATAAATAAACGTTTCTAAAACAAAATTTGGTACAAAATGTAGACAGTGCAAAAAGGGAAAAAAGTGAATGAGTGATGACATTTTGTGGTTCAAATGTCATGCACTATCTGAAAAGTAACAGAATGTTAGCGGGGGTGGGGCACATTCTTGGAAATCACACTCACTTTTCGCTTGACATCCACAGAGACACACAGAAGGAGCGACAGATAGAAGCCCATTTCCAAGATGTAATACCAGTAATGAGCCTCGGCCACGGGCTAAAGAATGGGAGTAAGAGAGAAACAAGAAGTCAGAATTTACATAGTGGTTTACACAGTGCTATGTGGCCTAAACAGAAGCCTGCTTATCTACGTAGCCCCGAGGAGGAAGGGCTGGGGAGGGGGATGCTGTGGAGGTAATGAGACCCCCAAAAGAAACCCTTTGTCCTTAAACTATCCACACTGATTCCTTCACCTGTCTAGATGGTTTGTATGTGTGTGTGTGAAAAAGTGGTGAAGCCTAGCAAGCATTCAGCGTTTCCAAAGTCATACAAGAGCTCTTTAATGTTCCCATATAAATCACATGTAAACTAAACTGTCAGCTTGTTCTTATTCAAAGGAAGCGGTGGTCTGAAAACACCTCTTGTAGAGCACGCATTGCTCAAAGTCTGCAGCAAAACAATAAAAGGAAGTTGACCGAAGTCTGTAACTCCTAAAAACACATCCTTTCTCTGTCAGAGGCCACAAGAAAAAAACAAAACAAAAACAAAGCAGTATTGCCTGCAGGAGCTGAAATCAGTCAAACTGCAGATAGAGAGCTCTGCAGCTTTGCATTTCTAGTGCTTTGGACATGACCCAGCAAGAAAAGACTGAGTTTCCTGAAAGAAAGCCAACTGGCAGGCATACCTAACTGGTCCACACAGCGGAGATACTGGCTTTTCATATTCAGAGTGGGAAAAAAAGTCTAGAAACAAAAATGCATTCAAGCCAACACTGGTATAAAGGAAGTAAAGGAATGGAGATGAAAGTAGTGGGTTTGTGGAGTGTAGTGACCCATTTGTGTGTTTTAGGGTTTTAAGGTAGTTTTTGTACTTGTTGACCTTATTCTGTTTTATTAATCTATTTTATTTTGCATTGAGATTTTCCATGTAATTTCACTATATTCTGTACAATGACAATAAGGGCTATCTATCAGTCTATCTGTCTACAAAGTCTGCTACAGTTTGGCCAAATTCCACTATATAGACTAAAGACTTTCTTTTTGTTGGGCCACTGTGAGCCATTCGTTTTTCCAAATCACTTTTTTTTAGTTGATGTACTATAGACAAGGTTCAATTTCATATTAGGGCTCTTTATAGAGTAACAGTTATTTTTACCACAAATAAATATGTCATTTCATTCTCAGTTTCTTGGAAAGCTCTATTAATGATGAATTATTTGGTTTCCCAATTGACAGAAAACTGTGAAAATGTCTATTATAAGTTCAAAGAGCCAACAATATCATATAAAACTAAGAAAAAGAGCAAAACCTTCCATGTGAGAATCTGGAAGAAGCAAATATTTCCCATTTTCTCTTGATCCACCGATGATCACAGTCAGTCAGTCAGTATTTTGTATAATCTAACCCAGTTCTGCTATAGATAAAACAAAACATGAAGCTTCCTGCTTACCTGTCTGGGATATCCCCTCCAACACTCTCTGTGATCCCACAACCACGGAGTCTGGAAGATTAAGGAATCAGTAATCCACAAGTGTTCACATGAATATTATTTTAACTATATCATAAGCAAACAGAGGGAAATTAGATAAAAGGCTATGACACACATGCTGTATGTATTAAATTAAACCCATAACACACATCCAACAATAGATCCAGCAGCCTTTAACTGATTTTTTTTGTACATTGCATAAATTGATTGTAAGTGCAATTCATGACAATGACATAATTATCTGTTGAAAGAAAAGAAACCAACCAACAGACTTACATTAATTAAAGTGCCAAGCCCTGCAGTGAAGGCTACGAGGTAGACGACAAACCGCCAGCTGCACAGGAAAAAACAAACACCATCATTTTTTAAGAAGCAACAGTGTAAATTAAGTTGACAAATCATCAGGGACATATTGAAGACACTGTCAAAAACATAGAAATGTCATATGGCCATACAAATGTCAGTTCAGGAGACGTTTATACACATGGACATTAAAATGTTCATTGTGAAATGTATAAGTGTGTCGATGGATCCGCCAACAAGAATTTATTTTTTAAAGTACTCTGGACCAGGCACCAGTGGCAAACTAAGCAGCAGCTTGAGTGGTGGCCACTCTGCGAAACACTCACCAGGCCTCACAGAACTTTTTGGTATTGTTGGGTCGATCCTGGTTCCTTCTGTGTCTGAACCAGGTCTGGATTTTTCTCTGTGAGAGTCCACACTGCATCCCCAAGCTCACCACCTCACTCTGAGCACACACAAACACAGATACATTCAGAGTCAGACTGAATTCTGGACTGTTTTGTCATGCATTCAGTTCATACAGCCCCATTGCTTCTGTAAAGTATTTTAATACAGTGCACATCAATCTTGCTGTGTGAGATGCAATATATCAGGTCTTACTGATCTCCCTGACATGTGTGTTACTGCCTCATTACATGCAGATCATACAAGCTGCATATTTTACCTGTCAACACGGAGGATTCCTACAACACAGACTACTTGTTCTGTGCAGATGATTCTGTAACAAGACATGTTTGTCTGATGCCCCCTGCTCTCTCACTCTGCACCCTGACACTTTACACAGGGATGTTTTACTGTTAATAGGGTCCTTGTATTGAATGAAACTTAATTACAAGAGTGTGTAATTCTGACTTAGGGCAAAGCAACAACATATATCATTTCATTTAGTGACAATGGCTATGTGTAGCAATCCATTTGTGTTGTATTACAGGATTAAATTGGGTCCAACTAATTGCGCAGTATTTTCTCCTGACCGTCATGCAGACACCTACATCTTGCAAATAAAGGTCAGGCTACTTTGTCTGCTTCCTCATGTGTTTGTTGCTTAACATTCAAACTGCGCAACAACAGCACAAGACAGGTGCTACTGGTTTAGGCCATAGAGAAACAGAAAATTTGGAAATGAATCAAGGGCCAGTGCACACAGACAAACATGGAGGTATGCACATGAATGCATGAAAGTACACACATGCCTTCACATACGCAAGCACACAACACAGAAGAGTTTTCATGGACTTGCGTATTTTTCTTTGATTTGTCAAGTCCTGTCTTGTGCTGACAGGATCATCTGTGTCACAATCAGGGGTGGAGAACCTCCATGTTAACCTTGCTGTGACTTGTTTGCACCTGTTCTTGTTAAAGCAAAAACTAAACCAAAGAACTGCTTGCAATTACATAGCAATTACACTGTTTTCCGGGCTATTTAGATATGCAGAGGTTAACAAGCAAACAGCTGCTGAAACAGCTGAAGGATGAGAAGAAATGGCTGAAGTTCTTTGTTGAATAATCTGAAGGATGAGATGCAATAAATGCAAGTCTTTAAAGAGCTGAACATTTTGATACCTGAATGGTATTTCTAGGTGAAAGTATGTGGAAGGAGTTAGATGTAAAAAAAAATGGATGGAAGATGCCATAATAATAATAATAATAATAATAAAGAACAGGAAAACATAGTGTGGATGCTGAAAAGCATCCACACTATGAGTAGTTCCACAAAGAACAAGGTCAGTAAAAGATGAGAATGATAACTGGTGAGAAGAGACAGCCTGCTGATATTTATGTAGGTCGAGAGGATGTACCACCTCACACAATAGTGTGAGAACTCCTAAGACATAACAAATAAAATAAATTATGTGTGTAATTGTTGATTGTTGTGTAAGCTTTTAACAAATGACTTTGAGCTAGTGTGACTCATGTGAATTAGGCAAAGCTCTCTGGTGGACTTCTTTTCTTACAACAGTTCTTTGTGCCAAGACAGTAGAAGGCAGATCCAGGTACAGCCGCAGTCATGTGAATGCACTGCGTTCTGCAGCCATGATGCAAATGCACTCAACACACTAACAACACAGATATTTTCACATTTATTTTTTCAGTTAATACATTTCATTTGCAAATGTAGGCACACTTCCACATGCCTGTGTTATCAGATCATTTTGTCCTTTTCTTTTTTATCTTCTGTGTTCCTGACTCTTACGAAAGAGTTAGGTATTATGGGTGGGAGGTTCATGGTGAGAACGGCAGCATACATACTTTTATTTATGGCTCTTGCGTTTGTGGTTTAGGCTGTCTGTCTGTAGCTAAATGTGGGGAAAAAGAGCCACATAGCTCTGTTTGTAAACCTTATTGCTGTGTGTATAATGTCATATTTCTATATTTTTATGAACACAGAATAAGAGGACACATCTAAAGAATTTTGGGTGATCAAACTAAAGCTGTGAAAATGAGAGAATGAAAATGGGATTTGGAGATAACTATTTAGACACCAACATATATGGAAGGCAGAAAGAAATACAAACTTGTGACGGCTGCCGACTGTTTTGTTTGTAGAAAGTCTCCAGCCTTGGGATAGAAGCAGCTCGAATCCGAACCTGATCCTTCACACCTAAATGTCTGCTTAATGGGGCAGCAATGACCCTGAGAGGACAGAGAACAAGGGAGAAAACAAAACTAAAATGGCTTTTCTACATGAACCAATTATAACTACAGAGGGATTAACAACAACAACCGCTGTCCAGTGTAATCCAACCAGAATAGAGCACAGACTAATGAGAACTAGATAGCTCTTTATGTTCCTCCTGACAGCTTGTAGCGCCTGTTGTACCCGGTACTTTTTACCATACTGACTCTAAGAGACGAGACAGTCCAAGTAACTACAAAACAGTGCTGATTTATTCCATGAACACAGGTAAAAATTAACATTACACGCTCAGGTATCTTGCACCTCCATCCTGCACGCAGGCAGATGTAAGATGAAAGACCCTGAACCCACCAGGCCTATACATTATATCCCTTCGGTTGGGCTAGCCCCATACTACACAGAAACGTCAACCGAGACCGAGACATCTCTGTTACCAGCTTTGCAGCTGGCCATAGCAGTAGTCAAAACATGAAGCAAATCAATGTGTGTGTGTCTGTTGATTAAGTGGTGTGTAACTAAAAACATTCTCACAGACTTCTAGTACATGTCGTGACTTAAACATAAGAACATATTATGGCTAAGGCTACAGTTATACACGTCATAATAATAATATTAAACACCCTGTCTGCTGATAGTCATCAACTCTTCTCTCTAGTTATCCTTGACCAGATGTACCCTGTAGAAACTCATAAGCATGACTAAGCATTTAACAGTCTAACTAGACATCCTATCTCCACTAAACATTTCTAATACATAAAGTATCTAGCCAATTTCTATCTGACTAAAAATACCTAACATGCTGCACCCATGAGCACACTGTCACTAGCTGAGACATTTGAGCTCATGTAAACAGAGACATAAAGACAGACATGGCAACGAAGAAGAAAAGGGGCAATTTTACATCTATATACACCAGAGAGATGTTTTGATAAATGTGTGTGTGCACATGTGTAACTCTATCTCAGAGATAATCATCCTGAAGTGGGCAGGGAGGGAGAGATCAGAGAGAATAAAAAGGTCAGGACACATGGTCTCTGGTTACAGAGCAGCATATGCTGTTATCCACTTCACTCTGACTGCTACTAATACATCTAATGGTACTAACACTAGTAAAATATCTGATGAAGGCACAGATAAGGCTTTAAGCCAAAGAGCAGAGCTAGCCTCACACCTGGACCGTACCAACCAAGCTCCAGTGGCTGATAAAGTGGATAATATAGTGGCTGATAAAGGAAAGCATGCAAAAACCAGCCCATCCATTTGTCCATCGTGTGTCTGTACATCATGTCTCCCTCATTTTTAATTCCTCTTCGTGCTACGAGCAGAACTACAGTAGTTAAATGTACAGGCAAGCTGACTGTGAAGATGCCTATAATATTAGAATGTTTGACTTAACCTTCTTTTCCTACATCAGCTTTAAAGACACTGCTGCCTTCACTGATGTGTCACAGTTAATGTCCTTATTTTTCTCAAACACACACACATACATCACATTTATTAGAAGGCTGGATCCAGTCTCTCTGGGAGCAGAATGGCTTTTGTGCAACTACTGACGATGCCTGCCTCCCACTATAAGAGTGATCTACACC